GCGGCACCAACCACGCCCTTGCCTCCTGCTTCAAGAAAAAGGATGACGAGAAGTATGGTGTCAATGGGACCGCCTCGAAGCCGCCAAGCTGGATGGTCAATCGTGCTCCTCCCCAAGTCGATCAAGTCAAAGCGCAGGAATCTGTGCAGGCTGCTGTGGCTGCACCTGCTGATGTGCGCCTCAACATGTTGTTCCCTGGCACTGCCAGGATTAATGAGACGATTTGGCAGTATCCTGGCTCACAAAGCACCTCAGCCACAATAGAGTTCACCCTCGACAGTGGGGCCACTCACACGGTTCTCAAGGAAGAACACTCCTTCTAGCCATACGAGACACCTGTTAGAATATACCATGCTATGCTAGTTGTGTATATTGTGTTTACATCCCTAGTTGGGTGTACACCTGTGTTGGGGTGTCAATCCAACCCAATTGTGGTTGGAGCCCCCAAACACAAGGACCACAATTGTGGGGGCACCACAAGTGGGTTGGCTAAACCACTGGTGGTACACCACACTTGGACCACCTCCAACTGGTGGTCAACCACATTTGGAAGGATCCTCCCTCCCTTGTGATTGGTCCTAACCCCCCTTTCCCTTCCAACCTTCCCTTCCTAGCTCATCCCTCTCTTCCTATGTAATGCCTTTGCTTCATCAATAAACTGAACCTTTCTGTTTCTAACATGGTATAGAGCAATAATGGCTCACGCCAACTTTTAAATCCCGATCCTTCCCCAAGCTTCCGCCCCGTCCCCTTCCGACGTGCACCTCATTGCCGTCCCCTCCATCGCCGCTGCTAGACTCCTAGCCGCCGCCTCTCAACTAGTTTTCTGTTGGGTGGATTTTCAAAAACCCCCAATGCGCCAAACGCCATAGCTCGCTCGATAGTTGACAGAATTGAGTGATTCGACTTGCAAAAGAACGCTCTTGGTGTCAGCTACAACGTCGTAAAATTTCGGATTGTTTCATTGCTTGGATTGTCATATATCGCTTTCCGAAGTTTGCACACTTTCCTGGATGTGATCACGAAGTGCTACTGAAATTTCTACCAAGTCCTATTTTCATCAGCTAACTACCATCTTTCCCCATCTTTTGCCTCCTCACCTGCACCTGCTCATCGCCGCCCTACCACTGCTGCAGCCGTAGCAGCAGCAGCAGAAGCAGCAGCAGCACCAGAAGGAGCAGCAGACTCAGCAGCAGCAGCTGCAGCAGTAGCAGCAGCAGCAGCAGCAGCTGAAGGAGTAGCAGCAGCAGCAGCAGCAACAGCGGCAGCAGCAGCAGTGGCAGCAGCAGCAGCGGCAGCAGCAACAACAGCAACAGCAGCAGCAGCAGCAGCAGCAGAAGGAGCAGCAGCAGCAGCAGCAGCAGCAGTAGCAGCAGCAGCAGCAGCAGCAGCAGCAGCAGCAGCAGCAGCAGTAGTATCTACAGCCATCCCCATCCTCCCCTCCTCTTTGAGCCGCCGCGGGTCCACCCGCCGCCGCTCCCTCCCGGCCACCGCGGGTCCACCCGCCGTCGCCTTCCTCCCACTCCGTGTCACCAATGGCATCCTTTCCCCCTCCCGTCGACGTCTCGACCCTCAATCATCTCGTGCGCGCTGCCGACAACTCAGCAACCAACTGGTATTCCTTCGTCGGCAGCCTCCACCGCGTCCTCGGCAGTGCTTATGTCCTGCCGTTCCGCCTCCTGGACATCATGCTTGGTCTCCCAGAGGGTGACCTTGGGGACCCGCCGCCTCACCCTGGCGATCCCCCCCCTCTCATTCCCCATCCTGGCGAGGAACCTCCGCCCCCCATGGTACCCGTTGGCACCAGCACTCGCGCTGCCACCGCTGAAGTTGAGCAGCTCTTCCTTACTCAGCGTTGTGAGTTCCTCGTGCTCCATACTGATTACCTGATCGCGTTGGAGGAACACGAGCGGTCGGCTACCCTCCGCACCCAGCATGCCGCTACCGCCGCCGCTTATGCCGCTGACTCTGCGTGATTTGCTGAGCGTCGTCGCGCCTGGCTCGAGGCGGACAGCCGTGCTACTGGTGCCCTTCTCCTTGCCATCCCGTCTGCGCTCATGCGCAACTTCCAGGCACGTCGCATCGGCTCCCGCCAGATCTGGCTCGAGCTTGAGGCAATGTTCGAACGCACCGACTTCGATGCTGTCGGACCGCTCTTCAAGGAATACTTCAGCATCACGATCGAACATAGTGCTGGCGCCGTTGACTACACCAGCCGTCTCCTGGACCTTGCCTCCCGCCTTGAGGCTCGCCAGACTACTCTCCCCCCCAACCTTCAGATCTACCGTCTCCTCGAAGGCCTCTCCCCTCAATATGAAGTGCGCGTCATCGCCTTCACTGAGGCTCAGCCCCGCGCCTCCCTTGACACTGTGGTCCAATGGATCATTGACGCTGAGGCCCGCCTTCTCTCAACCCCCCCCTCCGGCCTGAACTCCACCGAGTCCCAAAACCCCCAGCTTGCAGTCACACAGCCGCGTCGTGGCGGGCGCCCACGTGGCGGCCGCACCAACCCTCAGGGAGGGGGTGGAGGTGGCGGTTGTGGGGGCAGCGGAGCTGGCGGCGGTGGTGGCGGGGTCGAGGGCGGAGCTGAGAGCAGACTGGACAGCTGCCATGTCAGCTGGATCTCTGGCGGCTTGAATGAAGTCGTCGACGTAGACGAGGATGTAGAAGGGCTCGGAGGAGTGACGAACAAAGAGGGATGGAAGTCAAGTGCGAGGAGGGCTTCCTTCACCTTGTTGTGTTAGAAACAGAAAGGTTCAGTTTATTGATGAAGCAAAGGCATTACATTGGAAGAGAGGGATGAGCTAGGAAGGGAAGGTTGGAAGGGAAAGGGGGGTTAGGACCAATCACAAGGGAGGGAGGATCCTTCCAAATGTGGTTGACCACCAGTTGGAGGTGGTCCAAGTGTGGTGTACCACCAGTGGTTTAGCCAACCCACTTGTGGTGCCCCCACAATTGTGGTCCTTGTGTTTAGGGGCTCCAACCACAATTGGGTTGGATTGACACCCCAACACAGGTGTACACCCAACTAGGGATGTAAACACAATATACACAACTAGCATAGCATGGTATATTCTAACACAACCCCATAGCATGCAAAGCTAGTGTATATGTAGGGTACAACCCCAGAATCAGGAAGGGGGGCGGGGCCCAAGGCCGAGAAGGCGGAGGAGGGCAGAGTGCGCGGTCTTCGGGAGGGCCTTGGTGAAGATGTCGGCCAAGTTGGCCTCTGCAGCGATCTTGCGGACCACCAAGTGACCTTGCTGGACCAACTCTCGAACGAAGAAGTAGCGGAGTTCAATGTGCTTGGAGCGGCCATGGAAGACAGAGTCCTTTGTGAGATGGATGGTGCTGGCGTTGTCGCACCAGAGGGTGGGACAACGCTGAGGAGCACCGATCTCAGCAAGGAGGAAGGTGAGCCAGCGAGCCTCCTGAGCGGCCATGGTGCAAGCATAGAGCTCAGCCTTGCAGGATGAGAGGGCGATGGAGGAGGAGCGAGTGGAGCGCCAGCTGATGAGGCCACTGCCAAGGGTGAAGCCGTAGCCTTGAGAGGAACGGCGATCCGGCTGGGAGTCAGCCCAGGAGGAGTCACTAAAGCCAGAGAGGAGGGGAGGAGAAGAGCCTCCGAGGGTGAGGACATAGTCCTTGGTACCACGGAGGTAGCGGAGGACCCGCTTCGCTGCAGCCCAGTGCTCATCAGTGTGGCGACCGGTACCGACGAATCGAGCAAGAACACTGATGGGGTAGGCAAGGTCGGGGCGGGTGCACATCATAGCGTACATCAGCGAGCCGACGAGCTCAGCGTAAGGATGGTCAGAGGAGGAGGGAGCAGGAGGAGGGGCAAGCTGGTGGTCGGTCTGCAGGGGAGTGGTAACCGGCTTGGCCTGCGCCATGTCGAACCGCTGCAAGACTTGGTCGATGTAGAAGGACTGAGAGAGGGTAATGGTGCGCGATGTGCGGTCCCGGGTGATGGTCATGCCCAGATAGTGCTTGAGCTCACCCAGGTCCTTGCACTTGAGGCGCGCATGCAGGGCGTCCTTCACTTGCTGCATGGCGGCAGCATCGTCAGCGAACAGGATCATGTCGTCGACATACACCAGGATGAAGAAGCAGGTGGGAGAGGAGCGAAGGAAAAGGCTGGCATCAGACTGAGAGGCATGGAACCCCAAGGACTGCAGAGTGGCGGCCAGCTTGTTGTGCCACTCGCGAGGAGCCTGCTTGAGGCCATAAACCGGGCGGCGCAGCTCCCAGACTGTGTTGGCAGGGAAGGCTGCATGAAAGCCTGGAGGCCGCCGCAAGAGGACCCGCTCCTGGAGCTCGCCTTGCAGGAAGGCGTTGGAGACATCCATGGAGGCAATCTCCATGCCAATGCGAACAGCATAGTCGAGGATGGCACGGAGAGTTGGGAGCTTGGCAGTGGGAGAGAATGTCTCCCAGTAGTCGATGCCATGGGTTTGGGTAAATCCCTTGGCACAATACCGGGCCTTGTAGACCGGCTCCTCACCCGGCAGCTGCTTCACTCGGAACACCCACAGGCCTTCAACAATGACGTCGTCAGGAGAGGGGACAATGTTAACGAATGAGGCATTGCGGATAAAGGCCTCGCATTCAGCAAAGATAGCCTGGATCCACTTGGCAGCATCGGGGCAGGTGATGGCCTCAAGGAAGTTGGACGGAGTGAATATGGTGGGAGCGGTAGCGATGCCAAGGATGAGGAGGCCAAGGAAGCCCGGGTAGAGAGGCGTGAGGGAAGGTGTTTGTTGCTGAACGCCAATGAGCTCCTCATGGGAGTCCTCAAGGAAGGGAAGGGAGGGTGGGGGTGGTGTTGGCCAACCCCATGGATGGCCTATGAGTGGGCCGTGAGAGCGAGTGTGGATGCGTGGGAGGATGAACGGAGAGGTGGTGCGGCGATACCGATGAGGTTGCTGCAGTGGCTGCTGCTGCTGCTGCTGCTGCTGCTGCTGCTGCTGCTGTGGCTGCTGCTGGTGCTGCTGCTGCACCTCCTGCTGCGGCTGCTGTTGCTGCACTGCCTGCGGTTGCTGCTGCTGCTGCTGCTGCTGCTCCATCCGCTGCTGCACCTGCTGCTGCTGCTGCTGCTGCTGCTGCTGCTGCTGCTGCTGCTCCATCCGCTGCTGCTGCTGCACCTGCTGCTGCTGCTGTTGCTGCTGCTGCTGCTGCTGCTCCTTCTGCTGCTGCTGCTGCTGCTGCTGCTGCTGCTGCTGCTGCTGCTGCTGCTGCTGCTGCTGCTGCTGCTGCTGCTGCTGCTGCTGCTGCTGCTGCTGCTGCTGCTGCTGCTGCTGCTGCTGCTGCTGCTGCTGCTGCTGCTGCTGCTGCTGCTGCTGCTGCTGCTGCTGGTGCGATGAGGCAGAGTGAGCAGGGGAGTCAGGGACAGCTGGGTCGTAAATGTCACCTGAGGAAGGAGGAAGGGGAGGAGCAGGATTTGGAGGAAGGAGGGGAGCCTGGGGAAGGAGTGGGGGAATGACAGCATCAGCCCAGGTGAGGGGGCGGGAGAGAGGAGGAAGGGGGTCGGAAGGCGGAACAGAATGATAGAACGGGATGCTGTCATCGAACACCACGTCACGGCTCTGTAGGAGGCGGCCTGAGGACGGGTGAAGGAAGAGGTAACCAGGGGCAGAGCGAGCGTGGCCAAGGTAGACACACTCAATGGCCTTGGAGGCGAGCTTTCCTGCCTGCCGAGAGCGGTCAGGTGGGGGGATGAGGACATATGCCTTGCAACCCCAGATACGGAGAATGGCAGCATCTGGCTTGGTGCTAGCCCAGAGCTCAGTGGGAGTGACAGACTGGCGTTGAGGATGTGGGTAAAGATTAGTAAGGAGAGCAGCATGGACAAGGGCATAGCCCCAAAGAGAAGGGGGCGTGGAGGCATGAGTGAGGAGGCAGCGGGCCGTCTTGGTGATCTCACGAATGCGACTCTCAGCAACACCGTTCTGCTGAGGGGAGTGGGGAAGGGTATGAGTCTGCTGGATGCCATGGGTTGAGCAGTAGGAGGAGAGGGTGCGGTTGAGAAACTCACCACCGCCGTCGGAATGGAGGCGGCGGATGGGGCGACCAAAGTGGACTCGGCACTGCTCGGCCCAGGCACGATGACAGCAGGGGCATCGGCCTTCGTGTGGAGGAGGAACACCGAGGAGTACCTGCTGTGGTCGTCGACGAGGACAAGCATGTACCGGTGCCCTTGGCGGGAAGGGGAAGGGTTAGGGCCCCAGAGGTCCATGTGGACGAGGTCAAGGGGGGCAGCAGCAAAGGAAGGATGACTGAGGTGAGGCTGTTGTTTGAGCTTTCCATGAATGCATGTGGCGCATGGGGGAGCGGAAGAGGACGGGAGGGGAGGAAGAGTGGGGGGAAGACCGTCAAGCAAGCGGGAGGAGACGGCTTTACGAAGTGTGGGAAAGTTCATATAACCAAGGCGGTGGTGGATGAGAACAGCGGGGTGGGACAGTGCGCGACAAGAGCATGGGGAGGAGGTGGAGTTGGAGGAAGGTGGCTCTAGAGGGAGGGGAGGGGGGAGAGTGGAGGTGCCTGCACGAGTGGTCACAGTAGGTGGCAGAGGCGGGAAAGAGGGTAGTGATGCCAGCCTGTTGGAGTTCACGAATGGAGAGCAGGTTATGACGAAGGGAGGGAATGTGGAGACCAGTGACCACTCCAGAGGGGAAGGGGGGGCAGGGGAGGGTGGAGAGATGAGTGCAAGGGATGGAGAAGCTGGAATCAGCACCATGAACGTTGGTGGGGAAAGGGAGGGAGGTGAGGGTGCCGGCGTCTTTGAGGGCAGTTTCAGTGGCACCACTATCGAGAACAAAGTCAATCGTGAGCGAGGAGGGAGCTGGAGACACGGGGTACTGGAAATCACTGGCATTAAAAACAGAGGGATACATGGAAGTGGAAGCAGGGGAAGAACGCATGAGCTCGCCTAGAAAGCTGGAGTGGGAGGCGGGAGCACTAGGGGAAGGAGAGCCCCAGAGGGGAAAGCCAGGAGGACCTGGTGTGGCTGTGGCAGCCATGGCGGCGGTGCCAAAGCCAAGCTGCTGCTGCTGCCATGCAGATGCTGCGGCTGCGGCTCCTGCAGCTGCGGCTGCAGCCTGACCACCAGAGCCCCACTGCTGCTGCTGCTGCAGCAGCTGCAGCTGCTGGAAGCGGCGAAACTGCTGCAGCTCCTGGGGAGTTATGGGGTCAGCGACAGAGGAGGAGGAGGAGGAGAGCTGAAGATGAGAGGGGAGGAAAGACGGAAGAGTTTTGACATCCTGGAGAGAGGGGCGGGGATCCATGGCAGACCAGCGTGGGGGTGTGCCAGTGTTGCCGCGCTCGAACCAGGCGTCATCATACGCCTTGAAGCAGGTCGCGGGGGGATGGTTGGTTTGGGTGCAGCGCTCACCCGCCCTGGGACCAAAACGGCGAAGATAGGAACATGGGGGGAGAGTGCCAGGGCGGCCACCACGGCTACCAGATGAGCCACTACTGCCTCCACCACCACCACTGCTGCCACCCTCGACCCCGCAACCACCGCCGCCGGCTCCGCTGCCCCTACAACCGCCACCTCCACCCCCTCCCTGAGGGTTGGTGCGGCCGCCACGTGGGCGCCCGCCACGACGCGGCTGTGTGACTGCAAGCTGGGGGTTGTGGGACTCGGTGGAGTTCAGGCCGGAGGGGGGGGTTGAGAGAAGGCGGGCCTCAGCGATATCCGACAATCCAAGCGGTGAATCAGTGTGCAATTTTACGACGTAGTAGCTGACACAAAGAGCGTTCTTTTGCAAGTCGAATCACTCAATTCCGTCAACTAGCGAGCGAGCTATGGCGTTTGGCGCACTGGGGATGTTTGAAAATCCACCCAACAGAAAACTAGTTGTGAAGGGAAAGAGAGGCGGCGGCTAGGAGTCTAGCAGCGGCAATGGAGGGGACGGCAAAGAGATGCACGTTGGAAGGGGATGGGGCGGAAGCGTGGGGAAGGATCAGGATTAAAAGTTGGCGTGAGCCATTATTGCTCAATACCATGTTAGAAACAGAAATGTTGAGTTTATTGATCAAGCAAAGGCATTACATAGGAAGAGAGAGATGAGCTAGGAAGGGAAGGTTGGAAGGGAAGGGGGGGTTGCCGACCGCTCGTGTTCCTCCAACGCGATCAGGTAATCAGTATGGAGCACGAGGAACTCACGACGCTGAGTAAGGAAGAGCTGCTCAACTTCAGCGGTGGCAGCGCGAGTGCTGGTGCCAACGGGTACTATGGGGGGCGGAGGTTCCTCGCCGGGATGGGGAATGAGAGGGGGGGGATCGCCAGGGTGAGGCGGCGGGTCCCCAAGGTCATCCTCTGGGAGACCAAGCATGATGTCCAGGAGGCGGAACGGCAGGACATAAGCACTGCCGAGGACGCGATGGAGGCTGCCGATGAAGGAATACCAGTTGGTTGCTGAGTTGTCGGCAGCGCGCATGAGATGATCGAGGGTCGAGACGTCGACGGGAGGGGAAAAGGATGCCATTGGTGACACGGAGTGGGAGGAAGGCGACGGCGGATGGACCCGCGGTGGCCGGGAGGGAGCGGCGGCAGGTGGACCCGCGGCGGCTCAAAGAGGAGGGGAGGACGGGAATGGCTGTAGATACTGCTGCTGCTGATGCTGTTTTGCTGCTGCTGCTGCTGATGCTGCTGCTGCTGCTGCTGCTGCTGCTGCTGCTGCTGCTGCTGCTGCTGCTCCTTCTGCTGCTGCTGCTGCTGCTGTTGCTGTGGCTGCTGCTGCCGCTGCTGCTGCTGCCACTGCTGCTGCTGCCGCTGTTGCTGCTGCTGCTGCTGCTACTCCTTCAGCTGCTGCTGCTGCTGCTGCTACTGCTGCTGCTGCTGCTGAGTCTGCTGCTCCTTCTGGTGCTGCTGCTGCTTCTGCTGCTGCTGCTACGGCTGCAGCAGTGGTAAGGCGGCGATGAGCAGGTGCAGGTGAGGAGGCAAAAGATGGGGAAAGATGGCAGTTAGCTGATGAAAATAGGACTTGGTAGAAATTTCAGTAGCACTTCGTGATCACATCCAGGAAAGTGTGCAAACTTCGGAAAGCGATATATGACAATCCAAGCAATGAAACAGTCCGAAATTTTACGACGTTGTAGCTGACACCAAGAGCGTTCTTTTGCAAGTCGAATCACTCAATTCTGTCAACTATCGAGCGAGCTATGGCGTTTGGCGCATTGGGGGTTTTTGAAAATCCACCCAACAGAAAACTAGTTGAGAGGCGGCGGCTAGGAGTCTAGCAGCGGCGATGGAGGGGACGGCAATGAGGTGCACGTCGGAAGGGGACGGGGCGGAAGCTTGGGGAAGGATCGGGATTTAAAAGTTGGCGTGAGCCATTATTGCTCTATACCATGTTAGAAACAGAAAGGTTCAGTTTATTGATGAAGCAAAGGCATTACATAGGAAGAGAGGGATGAGCTAGGAAGGGAAGGTTGGAAGGGAAAGGGGGGTTAGGACCAATCACAAGGGAGGGAGGATCCTTCCAAATGTGGTTGACCACCAGTTGGAGGTGGTCCAAGTGTGGTGTACCACCAGTGGTTTAGCCAACCCACTTGTGGTGCCCCCACAATTGTGGTCCTTGTGTTTGGGGGCTCCAACCACAATTGGGTTGGATTGACACCCCAACACAGGTGTACACCCAATTAGGGATGTAAACACAATATTCACAACTAGCATAGCATGGTATATTCTAACAAAGACCAGAGGCAATTCCAATCCATGGTCGGGAGCCTACTCTATGCTGCTGTTCATACTCGGTCTGACATGAGCTTTGATGTGGGACAGCTGGCTCGAGCAGTGCAAAATCTAACAGAAGAGCAGTGTGGTGCAGCGGAGAGAGTGGTGCATTACCTCAAGTCCTACCCTACAGTGGGAGTACAGTATTCAGCCTCTGCTCAACTCAGTCAAAAGGGAGTTGAAGTTCTCAAAGAGAAGGGGGAGCAGCTCGGAGAAGGAAATGTGTTCCTTTCCTGCTTCGCTGATGCCACGTGGGCTTCGGAGCATGAGGATTCATCGTCAGTTGGTGGATATATGTGTATGGTGGGAGGTGGGCCTGTAAGTTGGAGGTCCAAAAAGCAGTCTGAAACAGCTCTTTCTGCAGTAGAATCTGAGTACATGGTGATGTTTCATGTGGCGGAAGAAATCATCTGGCTAAAGGAGGCTCTTGAAGGAGATCGGACATGAACAGACTTGTGCGACACCTCTGTTCAGTGATAGCAAGGGCTGGCTTAATTTTAAAACTCCCCTAGTGCGCCAAAAGCGATAGCTCACTCTCTAGTTGACAGAATCGGGCAATTTCACTTCGCATTGGAAAGCAAATATCATAAGCTGATATTGTGGAGTTTCAGACTGTATCACAGATTAGATGTAAACACAGGCATGCCATACAAAGAATTCCCATTACGTGCATTGCAGACAGGTTGACAGTTGCGTCATTCTGCCAATGGAACAAAACCAGATTTAGATTGCAAGACATGATTGTTGCACCTTTACACGACAACATTGTACTTACAGTTCGACTTCACCCAGATCTTGCACTTCATCCAGTGGAGCAGCATCCGTAATTGATGATGCTTGGCTGGAATCAAGGATGAGAACGCCTGATCGTGTTGTCATCATGAATACACCAGACTTGAGGTTGACATCACTCAAGAAGAGAGGAACATAGGAGCTTGTGGGATGTGCAGATAAGTACTTGTCAAAGCATGTCTTAATCTCCACCCCTGTGTCGCCAAGGGAAATTAGTGCACTCTCCTGTAATGAGTCGTAGATGAGAGCTACCAGCTTGCGCGCTCCATTCTTTGGATCAAGGATTGCATCTTGCAGCTTGACTGCAATGCAATGGATCTGGTGAAAACTTAGAGAGGACAATCATAAAAAATGACATATATGAGGGACAAGCATTGCCGAATATGGCAACATTACTAAAGTTAATATACGTATGAAAAAAAAAAAAAAAAAAAACGCAAGGAGCGACTTAACAAACAAATAAACCAAAGGAGTTTGAAGCATGGTTTAGGGTTTAGGGTTTAGTCATCAACGATTATGTCATCAAGATAAGCATAACTCAAACAACGTACCAATCAGCTATCCCTCGTAAAGCATTGAAACGGTGCACCTGATAAATCTTTCCAATGGAAAGATTCAGCAGGAAGTCATTGATAGCTGCCATGTCACACCGAACAGGCCCCGAAGACTCCGCCCAAAGAAGAAGCCCTGCTGTGTTGAACTCGTCATCGAACATGAGAACTTTTCCAGGGGATGGTTGACCGTTTTTCTTCATGAATGCATTTTTTATGCCGATGACCATCATTTTGAGATGCATATCGGCGCACTTTTGTTCTTTCTTCACCCTTTGTTCAATATATTTGAACTTCACCTCAATAATAGCCTGTGGTGACAAACAACTCTTTATTAGTACGATATAAGAGATCTTACATTAATGACAGTCTTCAATACTTGTGAAACTCACCCGTCCAAGGTTGTGCGGAAACAGCAAAGGACCTGTTCATTAGTGTACGTGACAAGAAACACAGGGAGGGGTACGCAATCTCATATGATACAATACGAGTATCATGAACATGAATAGCAACTATTGGCCAACATTTTCAATATTTTTTTAGGATATCATTCATTGATGATGACACAGACAGGAAAGTGATCTGAGAAAAAGGTTTCACCCACATAGATCTTAATTTGAGTTTTACAATAGTTTGCCCAAACATGATTTAGAGGAGTATTATTTACAGTAGTGGGTTCAACAACATACTGGGTAAAACGACGAAGTGTATATACCCTTTTATATCGACGTTGAGATACACCATTGAGATCAATATTGAAATCTTCAACAAATATCATGCTCGTGCCAATATTCTGGTCTATGCTGGATGAGATCATACCAACAAGTACGCCGCAATTCTGTTCGTTAGGG